TCATTTACCAGCTGGGTAAAATTTTCAGTTATAGAAAGGAGTTTGCTCTTTTTTTAAATACAGGGGCTTGCCCTGCCTGTGTTGGTGTTTTTTTTTTTCCTGGTAGTTCCTTGATTAGGGTATTGTTTACCCTAAAAACACCAACACAGGCAGGGCAAGCCACTGTACATAAACAGAGAGTAAACTCCACTCCATTCTAGCACTGAAGATGTTACCTAGCCGGGTAACAAAACGTTTGCAAGAAAACAGCCAAGCTCAGAGACCCCAAGGACTCCACAGTTCAACCCTGAGCTACATATATTCGCTTCTATTGGAGTTAATAACAGATGGGGGGTGTTGCCATTTTCAGGTCTATGTGTATGTGTGTGGGTGTTGCACTTTACTTTTATAGAATAAAAGTTTTCAAGCATATCTTAGCTCAGATATTGAGTTATGACAAAACATATACTCTTGATGGTTCATTCTGCAGGCCTGCATAATTTGTTACTTATGCAAGATGGATTTAATTTTCACTCCAAGTACTCCCAAGGTTGCTTAACTATATTCCCAGCAGTCCTGATGTGATGGAACACAAATCTGGCCCTGGGAATAGAGAATGGATGAACAAACCATTAAGGGAAGAGGAGGAGGTTCAGAAAAAATTACTCTCTTTTAGGAAAGGAAAAAGGAACAGAAAGAAACTCAGAAGAATCTCACCTTGATTTTGTTTGGCATAAAATGCAGTAGTGGGAAATTCTGACAGCCTTTCAAGATTCTGTTATTACACTCTAGAACAATAAAGGGTGAACACACAAAAAAACAGAAGCTACTTTGAAAATGCTATATGTATCATTGAAGTTTTGTTTCAGGATACCTCTCTTGGATGAAAGATGATGTTATCTATTCTAAAGTCACCATGGATCAAAGTAGCTTCATTATCATCATCATCATCGGGCAAATTGCTCATTAACCATTCAGCTAACTCGTTCATAGCTGGAATTTGGCTATGAGCAGCTGCTTGATACTGCCTCATCCAAGTTGATACCTAAAAGCAAACCACAATCAAAATTAGTAAGAAGTTGGTATCGGGTTCTTGATTTGGTTCAGATGGCAAAACTTACAGAACAATTAAAGGACAACAATATGGACAAATTTCAAAATAATTGGAAACCCTTCCTGGATTATATTGAGAAAACACAGAATATACAAATGGACATATTAGAATACTGAAATAATAGAATGAAATATAGATATAGAAGCAGTATAGTTAATAACAAATACAGAAAATGTTTATATTATTAGAAATAACTTCTTCTCAATATAATCCAGGAAGGGTTTCCAATTTCTCAATATAATCCAGGAAGGGTTTCCAATTTCTCAATATAATCCAGGAAGGGTTTCCAATTTTTTCTTTTTTGCTTGTTTGTTTTGTTTTGTTTAAGGTATGTCTTTTGTAAAAGGCTTTTAGATGTCTGTCTGACTTTTATGTTTTGCATGGTTTTATGTAATTGCATATTTTATTTGTGTAATAAAATTAAAAAAAAAAAAGAAGTTGGTATCGGGTGAAAGAGACCTTGATTTTTGAGGAGAACCCTTAGAATAGTATCCCATTCAGTGCACTGTCTTTTGAACAATTTCAAACTATTTGAATTGCTATTATTGGTGTGCTGCCATTTTTATGTCTTAATCTCTGCTGCAACTACTTTCTGTTTCCCCTTACAGCCTATATACAAACAAAAACTAATAATCACTTCCTTAGCATTTCACCTTTTGGGTTGTCTTTCCTAACTTCCGTGCTAATGTGAGTACTGTGAGCAGTCAGTAGCTGGTTCCAGACATTAAGCATCATTTTATTCTTCATATCCCCCAAATGCTAAACTTTGTTTAAGAGCCACAAAGTTTAAAGTATCAAGAAAAGTTACGCAGTCTGCAGATGGCAAGAACATCTGCACTTCCCAATTGCCAATTTTCCATTAAGAAAATCAAAAGATTAGACAGAAAGGGTTTTTCCCCCCAAATATTTACCTGCCTCTTACAGTAACCTGCACTTCGTCCATAGTCCTGGAGGCCCAGTGAACTAACACTTAAGGAGTGTAGCTGTGCCAGAGTTCCTATTATTGCTACATACAAAGCCGATCTTTCTGCTGGGCTTACTTCAGGTACTGTGAGGTCTCGGAAGATGCGACCCTGAAGACATAATTGAAATGGTGAGGAAATGAGGGAAGAAAGTACAGTTTTGAAACACAGGAGGAATTCATTCCACCATCTTTATTTGTCTATTTATCTGAAGTACTAGGATTAAATTCAAACTTGCTGATTCATGAACAGAAGGTTTCATTCCACTCAAAAG